GCTTCCCATCGCTCATCTTTTGTTAATATTACGATCTCAAATCGCTTATTCCGTGCTTCAGGCGCTCAACGCCGCTTGATTGACTTGGCTTACACGACCTACTCCGCTGTTTGGCTCCGTATTGCTATGGATATCCTCTGTCCGCAAATAGAGACTTGTTCTATTGAGAAAAAAGGTCCGTCCTGGCATTTTACACCTTAGTATTCTACATTTTTACTCATTTTTTATGATTTATTTTGCAGCGTCAATTGCTTTTTTCACTTTTGTTTCACTTATCTGAATATTTACATTTAAGATTTTAATGTTCAAATTGATAATGTTTATTAGAATTTATCGAAAACTAGCAAAATACTACATCCTATTTAAATTATTGTCACAGAATAATTCCTTGGTTGAGGTTTTTCAGTCCTCATTTTTTATTTTATACTAACAGAATTTTCAATCAATCTAGTTTATAGTTTTCTCTTCACTATGCGCCAATTCATATATTCAGACAAAAGATAATTTTTCTAAAATAATTCATGTTTTTGTTATATTTTCCTGCATTTTTTCGTGTTTTATTTTTATGAATCTTTCGCTCCTTCTTTCACTTAAATCTCTCTTTACTCTCCCTATACTTCTGAATTCAATACACTTTTTAATCCTTTTGTCAGGTCACATTTGTGAGCCATTGATGGATAGCTCAACCGCCTCTATCACTTCCAAATCTAGTACTATCAACAAGGTCTCATTTGCCCTTCCACGTCAACCGATGCATCGTCTTGGTCGTCGCCTGCATATATATCTTTTTACACCGTCATCATCTCAGCTGCCTGCATCTAGTTCATCAACCCAAATAATTTCTACTATTAACACAGGGGATAAGACTCCTGCAGTAGCCTCTGGTAGTTACCCAGTCCGGCGTTTACCACTATCTAGTATGGTGTCTACAAGCAAGAAACCAGGTTTGTCCGTAATTGTTTGCTTCTTTGATTTCCTATTTCTTTAGACAGTTTATTTTTCCAACCTTTAAAATGAGTCCTCGATTGTTTATATCTTAGATTGCAACCACAAAATCTGCATAAAAACACTAAGGGTACTGAAAAATTTATTACAGTATAAGTGAATTAATAGTTTAGATCATAATCTATGGGTTACTACATGTATAATGCCTTAACTACTTATTTTGTTTGATAATAAGTAGGATAAATTAGATTGTGTGACCTTCGTTTTGGTCGCAGTCTCATTTTGCTGCATATAATTGATCTGAGGCCGGTTCCGTAATTTGATTTTGATGTTGGATCTATTGAAGAACGATCTGATGCTAGAAATAATCTTGTATCCTAGTTTATATGATGGAGAAACTGGATATACTATTCCAGCCCCCCCCCGAAGCCACGACC